GGGTAGGGGTTACTGCTGGGGAGGGTAGGGGTTACTGCTGGGGAGGGTAGGGGTTACTGCTGGGGGGTAGGGGTTACTGCTGGGGGGGTATGGGTGCTGTGTCAGTATACCCCCCCCTCCTTCTTACCTTTAATGAAGTAGGGGGGGGGGGACAGCGATCCCTGGTGGTCCGGTGGTGGTAAGCACTGCAGGGGGAGGGCTCCAGGAAGCAGCTCCCCTGTCCTCTCGCGCAATGCTGTGTGGAGCGTTGCCATGGTAACGCACGGCAACGCTCCACACAGCATCGCGCGGGAGGACAGGGGAGCTGCATCACAGAGCCCTCCCCCTGCCTCCCGACCCGGAAGCAGAGTAGGCGCCTGCCGTTTCGGGCAGACAGGCGCCTACTCTGCATTGATGGCGGACCTGTGGCCGCGTGCCCACAGAAAGGGCCCTGCGTGCCACCTGTGGCACGCGTGCCATAGGTTCGCCATCACTGCCCTATGGTCTTTTCTCTTTATTTATATTTTTAGATTCCACTCTATAATATATTGTGGTAATTGATAAATGTATTGAGTGTGCTTTTATATTTATATTTTCACTTTATTTGTGTGTATTTGAGTGATTCACACAGGTGATTGTAGCACTATCTTTTATCATATTCGTGCTATCGTATTTTTTATTGTCACTATCCCTCTTGTAAGAAGTGGTGAAAGTGTAAAATGCAGGGCCGTCTTTAAGGAGGGGCAAACGGGGCACCTGCCCTGGGCCCAGTTACTCATGGGGGGCCCAAAGCAGCTGCCCCGTGGGCCCCGTCGCCTGCAATAAAAATTAATTTTTAAAAAATATTTCCCTACCTAATGGGCCCGCGGTGCTAGTATTGCGGCTGTACCGGGGCCCGCGCACTAAGGGGCCCCCCGGGTGGCCCATACCTTTAGGGCCACCCAGTGAGCATGTTCCAGCAGGGGTCCGGTCGGCGCTGTGGCCCTTTAACAGCGCGACCGGGTCCTTGCTTAACGGCTGCATGGGAGGAAGTGATGTCTGCGAATCACTTCCTCCCACCTCAAAGATATCGGGCCGCGCGGGAGGCTGCTGAGCCAGCATCCAGTGAGGAGGGGGAGCAAGAAGAGCCAGACCCCCAACTCCCAACTACCCCAGCCAGCACACTGGACCCCAGGGAAGGAAGCCTCTTTCAAAGGTAGGAAACTGAAGAGTGTCTCTTTGTGTGTGTCAGTATGTATGTATGTCTATGTGTGTGTCAGTATGTCTGTATGTGTGTGTGTCAGTATGTATGTATGTCTGTGTGAGTGTCAGTATGTATGTGTCAGTCAGTATATGTCTGTGTGTCAGTTTGTATGTCTGTGTGTGTCAGTTTGTATGTCTGTGTGTGTGTCAGTTTGTATGTCTGTGTGTATGTCAGTGTGTCTGTATGTATGTCGGTGTGCCAGTCAGTATGTCTGTCACAGTGTCAGTATGTCTGTCACAGTGTCTGTCTGTGTGTGTGTGTGTGTGTGTGTCAGTGTGTATCTGTTGTCAGTATGTATGTATCTGTGTGTGTGTGCCAATGTGTATACCTGTGCATGTATCTGTATGTAGCCAATGTGTGTATCTGCATGTGTGTCAGTGTTTGTATCTGCATTTGTCAGGTTATGTATCTGTGTGTCTGTATGTTGTCATTGTGTGTGTCTGTGTATCTGTATGTTGTCAGTGTATCTGCGTGTGTGCATCTGTGTGTCTGCATGTGTGCCAGGTTGTGTGTCTGTATGTGTGTGTGTCAGTGTGTGTAAATGTGTCTGTATAGCTGCATCTGTATGATTGTGTATATCTGTGTATCTGCAAGTGTTTCTGTGTGTGTATGTGTATCACTGTGTGTGTGTGTGTGTGTGTTTGTGACAGTGCAGGTGTATTTGTGCATACATCTCGGCATTCAACACTACACGTAAATACACACCTGCATTCAAACTTCAACACTACATATAAACACACCTCTTTTTTTAAACAACAAAATTATATATAAACACACCAGTGTATTCATAAACCAACACTACACATAAATGCATACTTGCATTTAAATGCCATCTCCACATACAAACACACCCCTACATTCACACAAACATACTCCATACAAAAACATGCTTACACTCAAACACACAAATACTGCTCAGTGCTAAATATAACCCTGCATGCATGGGAAAATGGTAGCGCCCCAGCTGTCAAAGCATTGTTGGAGTTGCATGACAGATGGGGATCTACCTTTTGCCCCCTCTTGCCCAAAATAATTCATGCACCAGAGCCCTCTCTACTTTACGTCCGCCTCTGCGTTGGGGTGGGGGGCATGATTGCATGCCAGGGAGGGGACGACCGGGTTCAGGGGGCCCAAGCAAATGTTTGCCCAGGGTCCAATCCATATTAAAGACGGCCCTGGTAAAATGGCAATTCTTAAATAAAGAAAGAGTCTGCAGAACGATATGGACAAGAAATTTGTTAGAACAAATTAAAGAATTAACATTAGTGATGATTTAGACACAATATGTCAGCATTTAAAAAGACTTGTAATAAAAGAGATTAAAATAAAATGGGAGATTTTTACATTAGAGAAATACATCAGTCTCCATATAACACCAAGAGGTCTCATGTTTTTTAAACTCCCTACTTTTGACCAGGAGAATAACATTTTTATGAGAATTTGGGAT